ACATACGTTAAGATTGGGTATGAGTGCCGGTAGGACAGGGTAGATAATCTCGGGTTCGAATTCATGCACTTCACAAATAATATTGAATAATTTCTTGGTCGTTATCAAATCACAATCCAGCATCTCACCGCAACGAATCGCGTGAGTCAACAGCTGAAATAATAGTTGATTACTGTTTCAAATGATTCTTGCGTGAAGTAAAGTAAAACCAACCATTTGCAACTGCTGCTCAACAGCATCTCGATTGTTGATAATCAGGTCACGCGCCATTCTGTACGATTCGCGATTATTGATCTGAATCGTTAACGATAACACCTGTCGAATTCATTCACCAACAAACAAAAATAAGACAACCTTCTGCGGTGGAACGATAAAGAAGAGCACAGCATCCAGAACGCTATTCGAAACCTGATCCACCGACTGGATCAACTTCGAGCACATCGTTGAGATAATGCCCTTCAAACTCGACTCTTCCGCATTCTTTTCATTCACTGAGCCAAACCCCGTCTTTATCAACTGCCTTAACACTGGCTGTGCATTATCACCCAGATGCATGGCCAGTTGCAGTGTCTCGGTCACTGATAAATTCTTAAATTCAACAAATAACAACCTCAATTGATGACACTAATAACATTCAATAGCCAAATGTCATATCTTTGCATGCAAATCAAAACATTCACTAACCTCAAGAAGATAGAAATATCTTCGATATTGCGCATCCGACGGGTCGGCGAGGCCATCGAGATTTCGAATCAAAAATATCAGAACATCCTCAAAACAAAACTCTTTGACGTAGAGATGAATGCAATCAATCAACATCAATAATAATGCACTCACCTTCAGCAATTGCGGATCTCCGATGGGAGATTCAGGGGCAAATATACGCATCAGATTCGCGATACAACATGCCAGCAGAACTCTGACATCTCTGTTCGAATTGTTCAGAAATGACGATTGCGTTAAATGATGCACTAGAGTTGAGTAACGATTCGGTGTACCGTTCAATTCATTCGTTTCTGCATCCTTCAGAACATTGTCCAGTGCCTTTACATCACTTATTATTT